TTGATTTATTTTTTGTTCCTATAATTGGTTTATTTTATTTATTTAAAATTTTTTCTTCTGTGCAATTAATTAGGAACTTTGTGATGTCTAAATAATACATGAAGTAAGATAAGAGTGAAGGAAAAAAAAAAAGAAAAGAAGAGAGAGAGAGAGAGAGAGAGAGAGAGAGAGAGAATAGAGAGATAATATAGTAGACCTTACATATATGACCAGTTCACCATCACAACAAAACCACCATTGAACAGCTCCCCAATCCACCTCCAAACAGAGCTTTTCCAACCAAATAACAAGGAATTTATGTCGTTGACATAAAGATCTAATTCATGTGGCCCTTTTTGCTTGACCTCGTTAAATCCAATTAATTGAAGTTTCAATTGGAAGGGGAAAACAGAGGATGGGGTGTTCAAAGGATTTGGGTTTTGCAAAGAGAAGTGAAGGATTTAGGTCTTGCTCAAAAGATGTGTATCGAGATTTTTTTTTATTTTTTATTTTTTATTTTTTTTTATATTTTAAAAAGATGTGTATTGAAAAAATTTTGATATAATATTGTGGGTGTGTTTTGATGTCCATTATAGTAATTTTGCTTTAAGGTATAATTGTTATTAAAATAATATTTCATTAAATGTGTGCGCAAAGATAAGTAAGTGTGTGGAAATAGAAATTTTCAAAATCTATTTATGTGGTGCGTGTACAAGATGTGAGTTAGGGTTATAATTGGAATATGTAGTGTGTGGAACGAGAATAATAACATATAACTAAATTCTAAGTATGTGCACTGAGATATGATGTGCACAAAAATAAAAGAGTGCATGAAAATAGAATTTTCTAGTGATATGATTAGATGTTTTAGCTTATTGACTATTTTAACCCCAACTCAATTGAACCTTAGCTGAAAATAATACTTACTAAAAGTCAAAACTAGGGGTGCTTGCGGTTCGGTTTTGAATGGTTCGATTTGTGGTTTGAACCCGCCTGCATATGTGTGTTTTGGAAAAAATTGAACCTGCAACCACCCGCAATACGGGTTGCAGTTTGTGCAGATGTACGGGCGGTTGCAGGTAGTTTGCGGATTGGATTTTTTTCTTTAAAAATTTATTTTTGGGCCTTTTTTTTTCCCATTTTGTAAATATTTATTTTGGGCCATTTTCCTCTCATTTTTTAAAATGCTTAACATTAAGAATTAATTAATTAAAACTTATAAAATTAAAAATACAACAAAATCAATTCCTAACACAAGCAAATCATTCAAAATCCTAAACTTTTAAATAAAATCATAAACTAACACAAGCACATCTTTCAAAATTCTAAACTAAATCATCAAAGTCATTCACAACCCAACAACACAATTAAAGTAAAATCATTCAAAATCCTAAACTTATCTAAAAGTAATTCTTCGTTAACTTTTACATTCATCCAAAATGCAATAATAAAATAACAATAAATTGTTGTCAAATTTCATCCAATTCAAACCCATTAAGAGATTAGGGTTTGGTTTGTTGGAAAAAAATATCTAGGATTGGATGAATGAAATCAACGGTCTAGGTTTTAAGGAAGAGAGGGAAAAAAAAAAGTCTAAATGCGAGAGGGTTCTTGCGGATGCAGATAAAACCCGTAACTCGCAATAATGTGCGGTTCGGATAACCCTATATCCAATCCTAGTCACAACCGCTTTGTCTTAGGATTGGTTGTGAATTACAATTCACCAAATAAATTAAAATCACTATGTGATGATGACTTATGATTGCTTTTACATGTGGAGATAAAAATAAAGAGCAATGATAGAGAGCTCTACTATTTGAGTTCTAAAAAGAGCTCTACACATGTGACAATAAAAAGAACATAAACAAACAAACAAACACACAGGTGTTGGACAATCTTCACTGTATTTAAAAGGATTTAATTCTGTTGTGTACAAAACAACAACAAGAATAAAAGAAATAGAGTAAAGGAGAGAATATGTTTGATTACAAAAATCAAACTCGAAATAAAAAAACAAAACAGATTTTATTTTGTTACAAAAACAAAATTAAAATCTGAATAAATAAACAAATAAAAACAACACTGAAAGTAATTAAATAACTTACTTGATTTAATTTCTTCGAATTATTTTTCTGATCAAGTCCAGTGTTTAACACTGTGTCCTTAAGACAGATTCGTCCTCTCCACGGTGCTTTCAGAATTCGGACGTCTATCTCCCAGGATGAAATGATCTACCACAAACAATAGCAGCACTACTAACTGTTTGCCTTACGAACACACTAAGTGTTTACACTCTTTCTTTCGGAAATAAAATGCAGCAAGATGAAGAATAGAAAACAGAAGTGAAATACGAAATTTCTGAAAATAAAAATATCAAATGAGGGTGGTCCTATTTATAGATGTGAAGATGGCTCTTGGATTTGAAATAAACAGGTATGTAGCTCTTGGTTTTGAATTGAACAGGTATCATACCTGTTGGGTTTTGAATTCAAACAGATTTGAATTAATTCAAACAGATATTAAACGGGAAGGGCCCTGTTTGGGTGTGCATTAATTCCAAAACAGTTTATTTCTGTTTGAAACCGGGAAGGGCCCTGTTTGGATGAACAATAATTCCAAAACAGTTTATTTCTGTTTGAAACCGGGAAGGGCCCTGTTTGGGTGTGCATTAATTCCAAAACAGTTTATTTCTGTTTGAAACCGGGAAGGGCCCTGTTTGGGTGTGCATTAATTCCAAAACAGTTTATTTCTGTTTGAAACCGGGAAGGGCCCTGTTTGGGTGTGCATTAATTCCAAAACAGTTTATTTCTGTTTGAAACCGGGAAGGGCCCTGTTTGGGTGTGCATTAATTCCAAAACAGTTTATTTCTGTTTGAAACCGGGAAGGGCCCTGTTTGGGTGTGCATTAATTCCAAAACAGTTTATTTCTAGTCACAACCGCTTTGTCTTAGGATTGGTTGTGAATTACAATTCACCAAATAAATTAAAATCACTATGTGATGATGACTTATGATTGCATTTACATGTGGAGATAAAAATAAAGAGCAATGATAGAGAGCTCTACTATTTGAGTTCTAAAAAGAGCTCTACACATGTGACAATAAAAAAAACATAAACAAACAAACAAACACACAGGCACATACATCACATCACAAGTAGATCCCATCTATTTAGAACTTCTCTAGAACTCTCAATCTTTATTCAAAAATAAATAAATCAAGGTTTTAGTTTAAATTTTTTATTATTAAAATTTTGTAAGATAAAATATATGTAATATGTTCATAATAATTTGAATCCCTCAATATTTTCATAGAAAATTTTTTCGTTCTCTTTATGAGAAGTTTCAATTCTTCACAAGAAAATTTCTGACATTCAAAAAAATTCTAGACAAAGTCTACAAAAAACACCAACGTAATCAAGGTTTCATCTCTCTCTCCAATTCTCACGTTACACACATTTTCTTCCTTTTCATCATTTCCTCAACTCTCGCCATCATTCTCTAAGATCAAAAAAATAATGTTATCTCTAACTAGTGTATCATAGACAATAAAAATAAATAAATATAGTCATGGATATAAGTCTTACAATAAATTATATAATGATAAAGTAAATTTTTTATACAAAATTTGAGTAAAAATTCAATATAATGGTAATATCACGTCATCATTAACATGTGATATTATCAACCAATAATAAAGAAACACATGGAGGGTGAATCCCACATATAAAATGTAACTAAAAATCCAATAAATTCTATATCTTTATTGTGAGATTAATTATGCTTGTATGTCAATAATAATAGATATCACCGTTATATTAAAAAAATTTCATAAATTTTTTATAGATAATAATATGGCTTATTGTAGTCTCTTCATTTTTCATCAAAACAATCACTATTGTTCTCATAATTTTAAAATTGTCATTGACATTTCACTCTAAATAATATTTTTATAATTTCTTTTATTTAAAATAATTTTTAATGTTTGTTAAAAAAAAAATTCAAAACCCAAGGGGCCACGTGACCTCTTTGGCCCCTCTATACCTTCGTCCCTATGTATGATTGTTGAGAATTAGTAACGTTTATTTCTTATTCAGTGTAAAAAATATATGTAATATAATAATAAATAATAATAATTTGATGGATTTGGTGAGGGAAAGGATTATAAAATATGAGGGAAATCATTTTGCCTTTGTTTGATTGATTGTTTGCCTATAGAACATTTGACCTTTTGTATTTTTTTTTTTGTAAGATTATTCGTATATGTAGAATTATTTAAAAATGGGTGGTCTTAGTTGTACTATTTTCTTTTTTTTCAGTAAACAAAGAAAAAGGGTGGCTCAGGCTTTGCCAGACCCAGACCCAGGCCCCGACCCCAGCCCCCGTTTGAGGCAAAATTTAGGGGCGCTATTCTTGCTTGTACCAAAGGAAGGGTCACACTGTCGAGATGCGCAAAAGTGTAGCTAATTAGAGCCACTTCTGAGCAGCAGGTACTTTACCGCGTCATTTCGAAGCCATAGAATCATCGAATCCACGTTGGGCAAGTGCCATTTGGGGTTCATGGGTTATTTTCCTATCCCAATCAAAAATATAGAAGCTTTGTGGAGTATTTATGAATCCAGCTTTGTTTCAAGAGATGAATTTGTAATAAAATAATATTTAGATCGATAAGATTTTCAAAATTTCTTCATTTCTTTTATTTATTTATAAAAATATGTTACTCTTTTGTTATCAAAAAAAAAAAAAAATGACATTTAACCATCCAATGGTATTTGAACATGTATGTTTTTAGTAAGATTGTTGGTAAAAGTTTAAGTAGATGTAGCATTCCTCCACATTTTTTATGGTAAGGAAAGTCTTACTGACTCTTACTTTCTCTTAGCTGGTGTGCTTCCCGAATGTGGACCATACAACTAGTATAATTGCTTGAACTGTCTATCAATGCATATAAATATATCTTCAGAAATTCATATGTTTACCAAGTATTAATGCTATCTTTTGGGGGTGCTTAATTTGAAGCAAAGATGACTAGTCAGAGTATATATACTACCTTCTTTAATTTTAGTGTTTTTCTTTTTCTTTCACTGCTTTCTCAGTTTGTTTCTCTTGAAACCAGTAGATTCAATTCCAATGATGGTAATTTAACCACTCGGTGCATTGAATTTGAGAGGAAAGCCCTTCTTCAATTCAAAGAAGGACTCACAGATCCTTCTGGTCGGCTTTCTTCTTGGGTTGGCAAAGATTGCTGTCGATGGAAGGGTGTGAGCTGCAACAAACACACTGGCAACGTTTTCAAGATTGACCTCAGAAACCAAGGAGGAGATTCTTGCAGTTTGTATGAAGGACTTGCAGACAATTATAATTCCTCATCGTGTTTGGGAGGTGAGATAAGTCCTTCTTTGCTCAACATAAAGTATTTAAGTTACTTGAATCTAAGCATGAATGATTTCTATGGAATCGCAATCCCAAATTTCATCAGTTCACTTGAGAAATTGAGTTATCTCAGTCTTTCTCAATCAAATTTCGGTGGAATGGTTCCACCTCATCTTGGAAATCTGTCAAACTTCCAATATATCGACCTCTCTGCATTTGTTTTTTACTACAATATTTGGGCATCGGATTTATACTGGCTTGTTGGCCTATCTTCTTTGAAGTATCTTAATCTTGGTGGTGTGAACCTGAGTGAAGCAACAGATTGGTTGCAATCAATTAATACGATGCCGTCTTTGTCTGAGTTACACTTGCTTGATTGTCAACTCCCCAACTTTCCAAAAGCTATACAGAATATAAATTTCACTTCCCTCTTGGGCCTCGATCTCTCTTTTAACGAGTTAACTCTTTGTTGCCTCTATGGCCTTTCAATATTAGTACTCTTGTGGAATTCAATGTCAGTTTAAACAATTTTACGGGTTCCATTGTCAGTTTAAACAATTTTACGGGTTCCATTGTCAATGCTGCTTTGGGAAACTATCATAACTTGCAATCACTAGATTTATCTTCTAACTCTATTACTGGTGACATAAGTGAACTTATAGAGGGATTGTCTGGGTGTTATAACAGAAGCTTGAAGGAGTCGATATTGGAATCCAACAAATTTAATGGGAAGTTGCCCGATTCGTTGGGACACTTGAATTATTTGAGATCCCTTGTACTGAATGATAATCTGATCTCAGGTCCAATTCCAGAATCTGTTGGAAGGTTGTTTTTTGTAAAGGAATTGGACCTTTCTTTTAATGAGATGAATGGGTCTATCCCTACAAGTTTAGGAAGACTCACAGAGTTGACTAAATTGCAACTCTTCCATAATTCTTGGAAAGGCCTCATGTCCCAAAACCATTTACGTGGTCTTGCAAAACTACGAGTTTTCTCCATATCTTCAAACACAACTTGCATTTTTAATGTGACACACGAATGGGTTCCTCCATTTAGCCTGTTAGCTATCCAAATCAGTAACTATCCGTTAGGTCCAAAATTTCCAGCATGGCTGAGAAATGGAAATTGTCAATGCAGATTGACATGCTTGACTTATGTGACAACCAAATTGGTGGTGTTGTTCCCAACTCATTAGGAATTTCCTTGGTGGACTTGAGTTTCAATCGCCTGGAAGGCACAATCCCACTCTGGCCTAATGCAACGTTTCTCTTTCTGAACTGCAATTTATTTTCAGGAGCGATTCCTTTGACTATTGGCAGTATCATGTCATCATTAATCACGCTTAATCTTTCTGGGAACTCTCTAAGTGGTACCATTCCTTTGTCCATATGTAAATTGAAAGCTTTGACTGGCCTCTATCTTTCAGACAATCATCTATCCGGAAAAATTGCCATCCATTTGGGGGACTTGCGAGCTCTTGGGAGCGTAGTTCTGTCCCAAAACAATCTCTGGCCATGTTCCTGAATCAATGTGCTCGCTATCATTTCTTTATTGGTTGAGGTTGAGTGGTAACAATCTTTCTGGCGAACTCTCTTGGTTGAAGAATTGCAGGAGTCTGAACACTCTTGATATTGGAGATAACAAATTTTCGGGGAACATACCAGGATGGCTGGGAGAAAATCTTTCGTCGCTTTCCAAGCTCCGACTGCGAGCCAACTTGTTCACCGGAGATATACCTCAACAGCTATGTCATTTATCTGATCTCCACATCTTAGACCTCGCTCATAACTATTTCACAGGATCTATACCTTGCTGTTTGGGAAATTTGAGTGGCTTTAATCGTTTCACCTCTTCCAAAAGTGCATTTACATTTGCATTTTCATCTGAGTCGATTTATATTCATCAAATGGATTTGGTAGTGAAAGGAAGACAATTTGGGTATACCAGCACACTTGAGCTCGTTAATGTTATAGACCTTTCGAGCAATAATCTATCTGGGGAAATCCCAGTAGAGATAACAAATCCGCCAGACTTGGGTACCTTGAATTTATCAAGAAACCAATTGACAGGAAAGATACCAAAGAAAATTGGAGAAATGCGATGGTTAGAAACACTAGACCTTTCGAGCAACTACCTCTCCGGTTCAATTCCTTCAACCATGTCTTATTTAACATCGCTGAGCCATTTGAACTTGTCATACAACAACCTTTCCGGGTCAATTCCTTCAACCAATCAGTTCCAGACTTTCAATGATCCATCCATTTATGAAGGTAATCCGGAACTTTCAATAACTGATGTTGATGCAAAAGACAAAGATGGCAAAAAAAAGGTGGACAATAAGGAAGACGAGTATGATGAGTTGTGGCTCTATCTTAGCACAGGAGTTGGATTCATTGTAGGATTTTGGGTTGTTTGTGGCACTTTGGTACTACAAAGGTCTTGGAGACATGCTTATCTTTGATACCTAGATGAAGTGAAAGATTGGCTCTTTGTGGTCATTGCGGTAAATGTGGCTCGTTTTCAAAGGATGACATAGAGACGGTTGTTTTGGTGTCTTCTTCTGGTAATGGTTTTGGCTCTATTTTTATTTTCTGCCCTATATTTGAGATTATAAAGAAGCAAGTATTTGTTAGTTGCTGTCTTTTTGTTTTTGATTTTGTTGTCTTTGTTGCAGTGAACTTGAAACAAGGTTACAGGCACAGAGGGAAGGAAGGATGATTTCATAAAACCATTTTATATAAATTTTCTTACAATGTGCCTCTAAAATCATAGATTTTCCCCAGTTGTTTTGCTATGTTAATGTCTTTCCTTATTGTACTTTGCTTTCCTAATTTGTCGAATATATAAATAATTATCCATTTATGAATAATTATTAGGAAAATTTACTTATAAATGTCATCTTAAAGAATGGTGATCCATTCAGTCATAAGGATTTTCTTATAAACCAATTAATCCCATTGATTTTGGAAAGGTAGGTTTAATATATTATTTAAAATTTAGATTTACAGTTATACCCTTATTTCTATTATGTTTCTTCTTTTTTTTTCTTTTTTCTTTTGTGCTAGAAAGATAATATACACAATATATGTGAATCAAATTTGGGATGAATTTTTATATAAAAATCTTTTTTATTTAGAAAACATTTCAAAAGGAATACAGAAATGACTTAAAATATGAGATTCTTCAAACATTCTAAAAGGATGTGGGATGTTTCAAACATGTTAAAAGGAGTACAAAAAGTATTTGGTAAGTTTTGGCCAAATGTGTATTTTAAACTGCAATACTCCAATCCGATATAACATTCAAACATAATACTCCAATATAACACCAAAAAAAAAAAAAAAAAACTTAGTTTAATTCCCTAATGTAATACAAAAAAAAACTTCGTATTGTACTTTTTCTAAACGTAACGTTTCAATATAACACTCCAAAAAATTTTTTTAATGTCGCACACAAAAAAATTCCTTACTGTAACACTCTAATGTAACATACAAAAAAACTCATTAATGTATTTTTTCCAAATGTAACACTCTAATATAACACTCTAAAAAAACTCGTTAGTGTAACACTCTAATGTAAGACATACAAAAACTTCTTAGTATAACACTCTAATGTAACACACAAAAAATCTTCTTAGTGTACTTTTTCCAAATGTAACACTCTAGTATAATACTTTAAAAAAACTCTTTAGTGTAACACTTTAATGTAACGCACAAAAACTCATTAGTATAATATTCTAATGTAATACAAAAAAAAAACACTTTAGTGTACTTTTTCAAACGTAACGCTTTAATATAATACTCCAAAAAAATTCCTTAATGTAATACTTTAATGTAACACATACAAAAAAAAAAAAAAAAAATTTTTGGTATACTTTTTTAACAAAAAAAACCCCCCTATTAAAAAAAAAAAAAAAAAAAAAAAAAAAAAAAAAAAATTCATAGTTTACTTTTTCTAAACGTAACACTCCAATGTAACACTAAAAAAAAGGAATGTGAGATGTTTGAAACCATTCCAAAAGGAATATAAATATTCCTTAGTAAGTTTTGGACAAATGTATAATTTTGAAATGTGAGTGTTACGTTTAAAAAAAGTACACTAAAAAGTCTTTTTTAGTGCTTTTGTGTGTTACATTAGAGTATGTTATATTAGAATGTCACGTTTGGGATTACACTGATTGGAGTGTTACGTTTGTGGAAAATACATTAAGAATTTTTTTTTAAAATTTTTTTTTATGTTACATTGGAGTATTACGTTTGGGAAAAGTACACCACAGAGTTTTTTTGAGTGTTACGCTGTTACATTTAGGAAAAGTACTCCAATGAGTTTTTTAGTGTATTACATTGAAATATTACGTTGTTGAAGTGTTACATTAGAGTGTTAGGTTATTCGTAATATGGGATTTGTTATAGAATGAAGGAAAATCCAAAAATTCTATTGTGCAAATTGCTCAAATGTGTAATTTTATATTTTGAGAAACCCACTTTCATACCTAAAAAATTAAATCTAAACATGTAAGTGACTACTCTTTTATGTAATTTGCACTTTAATGGGACCTTTGGGTTCATAAAAAAAAAAAATTAAAAAAAAAACTAAACAATTCACAAGATTACATTTTGAAATTTATTGATATTTCACCCTAATTATTATTCATATTAATCTTAATGTTAATGTTTTTCCTTATTGTACTTTGCTTTCCTAAGTTGTTTTAACATTTTGTTATCAATTTTTATTTATAATTATCCATTTATGAATTATTACCAACTTTACTGCACTCTCTGGGTGTTTTGGATAAGACAGGTATCTTTGTAAATACTTACCCTCGTTTGGCAAGTGATTTTTTTTTTTTTTTTGGGAGATTGACCAATAAGTCTCATATTTTAGACTTGTAATCCATATAGTCCTATATTTTTTGTCAACTTTGCGAAACATATAAATAAAATCCGCGACATAATAAGAAGCATTAAAATAGGGAATTTCTGGCGATACTTGATAATCTGAAAAGTCATGATTGATGCAATTATTCCCACTGAATACATCACTAAATCTTCGTTGTCGCCTTACGGACTGATATTCACTATAATCCTCGAATAACTCATCCTCAAATTCATCCTCACTATCGTATTGATAACGAGAAGATCGTCTCAAGACGTTGTGATTAACAGGCAGACCTTGGCAAATCCCATAATGCTGTTCCTATTAACGTTGTGACTAACAGGTTGGCCTTAGGCAAATCCCATAGTGTTGTTCCTTTTAACGTTGTGACTAACGGATTGGCCTTGGGCAAGTCCCTTGACTTGAATCCTATTGGATCTTTCTCTACGATCATCGTTAATAGAGCTTATGCTTCCTCCTTTGATTAATGACATCGAGCCAGGCGAAACCTTGCTTTGATACCACTTGACGTGGCAAAATATACAGGGACTAGATATCATTCTAGTAAATGAAATGGGCTCTCGAATCCACAAAAAAAATAGAACCTTGAATCCATAAGGAAGAGAAAATATCTTAATATTATTGATAGAATAAAAATTGTCCCCATTACATATGCTCGTAGGCTTATTTATAATAAACTAAACCTAATACTTATAGGAAAAGTAATTCTAAAATAAACTAGGAAACTTATCAACACAAATTAGGAAACCTCAGATAATAAGAAACTAAAATTCTAAACTATTTAAAATCCTTATCAAAATCTAATTCCAAAATAATAAAATTTAAGAAACCTAATAATTCTAAAATATTTATACTAAATTACAAGAATCCTAATAAAATAATATATCAAAAATATTAAAACTAAAAATATAAAAATTCTTAAAATCTTGTCCTATATTACAAAATTTCTTGAGTAGCATTGTGAGAGGTCCAAAATCTCATAATAAATTTGTGGACTTATTGAATTAAAAAATAAATTTAATAGGTAATATTGGAGCTATTACAATAAATTCTAACAAACAATCTTCAATTTCTATATGTTCCTATGTGTAAAAATTAGTTGTTTAAAAATCTGTTAAAAATTCCTATTTGTTGAACTCATTTTTTTTATATGTTAAAGATATACCCCGTTATTTATCTATTCAACACAGATCTGTTGAAATTCACAGGTCTTGTCCGTTTGTTGTTCCTGTTTATCAACAACAATAACAAGAAGAATAACAAATCATTAAAAAAAAGTCCGAAAATTCTATGAATGCTATCCATTCAAAATTCAGGAAAGTCTTCATCATCATCAAGAAGACTTTCCAGATCTAAGCCTTGAACCCTTTAACAACAGCAGCAGATAGAAGACTTTCCAGACTTTTTTGATTATCTGTTCAAATTTTACCCTATCTGTTCAATTTTTTGTTCTTTTCAATTCAAAATTTGTTACTATATGTCAAACCAACTCTTATCTGTTGTCAAAATCTTTTCTATCTGTTGAAGTTTTTTATCTATCTGTTGAATCTACTCTTATCTAGATAGACAAATAATTGTTAAAAGAAATTCTAACAAACAATCTTCAATTTCTATATGTTCCTATCTGTAAAAAATAGGTCAAAATTCCTATCTGTTGAACTCATTTTTTCTATCTGTTAAAGGTATAATCTGTTTTTTTTTTATCTGTTCAACATAGATCTGTTGAAATTCACACAGGTTTTCTCTGTTTGTTTTATCTGTTCATCAACAACAAGAATAACAAGTCACTAAAAAAAGTCCAGAAATTCTATGAATGCTATCTATTCAAAATTCTGGAAAGTCTTCATCATCATCAAGAAGACTTTCCAGATCTGAGCCTTGTACACAGATCTGAGCCTTCAATAACAGCAGCCGATAGAAGAAGAAAATTTAACCTCAACAACACATATTTTCAAATCTTCACAAGTAGAGAGAGGGAAGAGAGAGTAACATCTATTTTCAGATAACTTCAGTTTCTCTTCTTCTAACCTTATAGTCCAAATCAAACTGAATTAACAAAGTATATATTTATATATAGAACATAGCACAAAAATAAAAACAAATCTAAAAAATTCCGTAATATAAAGAACACTAAATCCTAATCGACTATTGTAATAAAAAAATAAAATAAATCAAATTCATCACAACAATTGCATTGCACGCATTGATGAACCAGAATCACAAACTAAACCCAAAGCCTCACCAGTTAAAAAAAAAAAATCAGATGAATGCTGGAAAAAATGATTTTTGGGGACTTTAATTTAATATTAAAGTGTGGTGACTTTAATTAAAGATTAAAGTGGGTCCCAACCATCTATTGTGTTGGGTCCAAGTGGGTTTAGATACTTTGCATTGAGATCTTTACACCACAGATAGAATGGCCAAAAACCATCGAGATTTGAATGAGAAATTACCTCATGAAGTTAGCTTCATGGAAGAAAGGTAATGAAGTTTGTAACTCCTGCATTAATGGGGTTTGTAACTCCTGCCTTTATTGTAGAGGTTAATGGTGCATTATGAACAGCCATAAAGGCTGGAGGCTCTTCCTCTCTCCCCTATACATGTATAAATTGAGACCCTCCTGTCAAGTCTCAAACACAGAAATTTTTACTTCCATTTCACAAGTCAGTTTGCCTGAAAGTTCCTACAGTGAGAGAGTGCTGCCACTGTTTTGTTCGCTAAGCTAGACAGAGAGTGCTTCTGCCGTAGCTGGTTTTGACCGTCGTATCCTGGGAGACAGACACCGGGATTCCTCAAGCACTCGACCAGTGAGGTGGCGAAATCTGTTTTAAGGAAACTGCTTCCGTGCAGGCTTCAGTTTCGTCTCTTTATCCTTTTATTGTTTTGTGTATTTCTGTTGAAATTTAGTTGTAATTATTAGC